ATGGAAGGATTCTTCTGGAAGACCTTGATGCTGGTCGGGGTTCTGTCGGTCTCGGGGCGTCCTCACCTGCCCCACGAGCCACTGACCTACGATGATGCCCTGTGTCTTGGGGTGGAGATCTTCAACAAGAAAGCCGGAGAAGGGTCCCTCTACCGTCTCCTGGATGGTGTTCCTCAGCCCGAATGGGTAAGGAGGCCGGATCGGGAATGGCGTGGTGGGGCAGGAGAGGGAGATGAAGGTGAGGGAGATGAAGGTGATGGTGAAGAAGATGATGATGAAGTTGAGGAGGAGGAGGAGGGTGAAGATGAAGTTGAGGAGAAGGAGGATGGTGAGGATGAAGAGGAGGAGGAGGAGGGTGAGGATGAAGGTGATGGTGGTGATGGTGATGAAGAAGGTGAGGATGAAGTTGAGGAGGAGGATGGTGATGATGAAGGTAACGGTGATGATGGTGGGGATGGTGAGGATGAAGAGGATGGTGAGGATGAAGGTGATGGTGAAGAGCGTGATGATGAAGATCAAGTTGAGGAGGAGGAGAACGACGGTGATGATGAAGGTGACGGTGAGGATGGTGAGGATGAAGAGGAGGAGGATGGTGACAATGAAGGTGATGGTGAAGATGGTGAGGACGAAGTTGAGGAGGAGGGGTGGAGATCTTCAACAAGAAAGCTGGGGAAGGGTCCCTCTACCGTCTCCTGGATGGTGTTCCTCAGCCTGAATGGGTAAGGAGGCCAGATCGGGAATGGCGTGGTGGGGCAGGAGAGGGAGATGAAGGTGAGGGAGATGAAGGATGAGGATGAAGCTGAGGAGGAACTTGGATGGTGAGGTTGAAGGTGAGGGTGAAGAGGGTGATGATGACCAAGTTGAGGAGGAGGAGGAGGAGAACGATGGTGAGGATGGTGAGGATGAAGTTGAGCAGGATGAAGCTGAGGATGAGGATAGCGATGATGAAAGTGATGGTGAAGAAGATGAAGTTGAGGAAGAGGAGGGTGAAGATGAAGTTGAGGAGGAGGAGGATGGTGAGGATGAAGGTGATTGTGAAGATGGTGAGGATGAAGAGGAGGAGGAAAAGGATGGTGATGATGAAGGTGATGGTGAGGATGGTGGGGATGGTGAGGATGAAGATGGTGAGGATGAAGGTGATGGTGAAGAGGGTGATGATGAAGATCAAGTTGAGGAGGAGGAGGAGGAGGAGAACGACAGTGATGATGAAGGTGATGGTGTGGATGGTGAGGATGAAGTTGAGGAGGAGGATGAAGGTGAGGATGAAGTTGAGGAGGAGGATGGTGATGATGAAGGTGAGTGAGGATGGTGAGGATGAAGTTGAGGAGGAGAACGATGGTGATGATGAAGGTGATAGTGAGGATGGGGAGGATGGTGATGATGAAGTTGAGAATGAGGGTGAAGATGAGGAGGAGGAGGAGGATGGTGATGATGAAGGTGAGTGAGGATGGTGAGGATGAAGTTGAGGATGAAGAGGAGGAGGAGGAGGAGAATGATGGTGATGATGAAGGTGACGGTGAGGATGGTGAGGATGGTGGTGATGAAGTTGAGGAGGATGAAGGTGAGGATGAAGTTGAGGAGGAGGAGGATGAAGGTGAGAGGATGGTGATGATGAAGGTGATCGTGAAGATGGTGAGGATGAAGTTGAGGAGGAGGAGGGAAAGGATGTTGATGATGAAGGGTTAGGGTTAGGGGATGATGGAACCCCAACCCAATGGGGATGATGGAACCCCAACCCAATGGGGATGATGGAAACCATAACCCAACGGGGATGATAGAACCTCAACCTACTGGGGATGATGGGAACCCCAACTCAATGGGGATGATGGGAACCCCAACTCAATGAGGATGATGGGATCCCCAACTCAATGGGGATGATGGGACCCCTAACCAGTGGAACAGCTTACTTCCAGAAATCGTGGGCGCTCCATCACTGGAGATTTTAAAGAAGAAACTAGACATTCACCAGTCTGAGACGGTGTAGGTTCTCCTGCTTGAGCAGGGGGCTGGACTAGAAGACCTCCAAGGTCCCTTCCAGCTCTCTTCTCTTCTATAAGAGGTGGTTTTGATGGGTGGGACCTTCCTGGGATGATCTCCAAACCTAGAAGTGAGGGTTAAACCGTTGGCCAGATGGAGGAGACCCCCTCTCAGCTGAGGTCCTACCTCAAGAGGCAACCGGACTTTCTCATTTTTCCTGGAGGTTGACCTGTGTCCTCGGGCTCACCTGATTGCTGCCAAGATGTGTGTGTGTGTGTGTGTGTGTGTGGAGCCTTCTTGGACCTGTTGAAAGGACCGTGTTGTAGACCAGAGAAGCAGGCTCAATTTTGACGGAGATGGTCTCTTGGACCCCTCTTTCAAACCAGCGGTCCTCTCCGTCCAAAAGGTGGACTTTTGTGTTTCGCGCGCAGATGGCTTGCCAAATTTTGTTCTCCGATGGTACGCCTTGCGTTGATGACGCCGTCGTTTTGTTCCCCCGATATACAGCTCCCTGCGTTGTATCGCATCTACCAAACCGTTGCTAAGTTGGCGTGTGGGTGTTTTATCTTTGGGGTGGGGCGTATAAACTTCTGCCTTTGTGTTTTTGTGGGTTCGAAGGGCGCACGAGGGGTTGTGTCGTCTGAAGGGTCCCTCCGGAGCTTTTCCCGATATTCCGGAACGACTACGTCGCTTCGTTTGGCATTGAGCGGCAAACTAGCCGAAAGAGGGAGACTCACCCACCCTTCTTCTCCTAGCGTGGAGGTCCCGTACGGCCCTTCATGGATGGTCCATCGGGATGATGGACCTGGAATCCAGAACTTCTGGGACCTGCATGGCGTCTTCTCCACGGCTCCTTTACAGTGGCGACGGAAAGAGCCGTTCAGACGCGATCCCGACATGAAATGGGAGAAGGTGCAGAGGGGCCTTCAAACCGATCCATCCTCTTTTGTTCGGTCTCGTTTCAGGATCCCGTCTCGGAAGGCAACCAAGCCTTGAATTTCACCGTCAAAGAGACGGTGTGTCCAGCCGAAGAAGACTTTTCCACGGATCGATGCGACTTCAAAGAAGATGGGGTGAGTGATCGCCACCAAGCTGGGTTGGATGATGGATTGTAGATGAAAAGTCGGATCTTCTTGACTGACGTGACACTGGATTTCCATCCAGTTTCAACTTCCATCTTCCACGTCTACTTGTTTCTTGAGGGACGTCGTCTTCTCGGTTCTCCAAAGTCAACTCTGGGGCTCAGCTCCATGGATGGAGAAGGAACCCAACCCATGAACCCTTCAACTGTTGTTCCCCGTTCCTCCAAGGTGTCTATGGAGATTCTCAGTCATCCAGGTCACAGCTGTCCTCAAGATGCTTCTTCAGGAGGCAACTGGACCTTCTTCTTGCTCCTCTGAAGGCCTTTCACCTCTCATCCAAGGAGCTTCTTCGGAGCTTGGAGGAGAAGCGAAAGGTCTTCGGAGGAGAGAGAAGAAGGTCCAGTTGCCTCCTGAAAAAGCATCATGGAGAAATTGAGGATCAACCAACTTGGGTTGTCCAACGTTGCGATGGAAGGACACGGGTGAGGCAACGTCAGGGGCTGATCCAAGATGTCTCCTCTGGAAAAACAACAACAAGGTGGCTTGCGTCTCACCACGCTTTTCTCCCCTCCGTAGATGGTCAGACAATGTACAGGCTACTACTTCCTTGAGGAGAGACCCCCGGTGGCCGTTCTCACCTGCCACACCGTGGGGGGAACAGTGAAGGAGGAGGAGAAGGAGGAGGAGGAGGAGAAGAAGAAGAAGAAGGTAAGACGATGGCCTGGTGGGCTTGAAACCTAGAAGGAGGGTGGAACCATGTGCCACGTGGAGGAGACCCCGTCTCAGTTGAGGGTCAGAAGGGAGACCTTCCAAAGGGTCTCCGGCTCGGGCAGGGGGTTGGACTAGATGACCTCTGAGGTCCCTTCCAACTCTGTCATTCCATGATTCTGTAAGGGTCTCCTGCTCGAACAGGGGGTTGGACTAGATGACCTCTAAGGTCCCATCCAACTCTGTTCTTCCATGATTCTGGCAGGGTCTCTTGCTCTAGTAGGGGTTTGGACTAGATGACCTCTAAGGTCCCATCCAACTCTTTTCTTCCATGATTCTGGAAGGGTCTCCTGCTCAAACAGGGGGTTGGACTAGATGACCTCTAAGATCCCATCCAACTCTATTCTGCCATGATTCTGGAAGGGTCTCCTGCTCAAGCAGGGGGTTGGACTAGATGACCTCTAAGGTCCCATCCAACTCTATTCTTCCATGATTCTGGAAGGATCTCCTGCTCGAGCAGGGGGTTGGACTAGATGACCTCTAAGGTCCCATCCAACTCTGTTATTCCATGATTTTGTAAGGATCTCCTGCTCGAGCAGTGGGTTTTACTAGATGACCTCTAAGATCCCATCCAACTCTGTTATTCCATGATTCTGGAAGGGTCTCCTGCTCGAGCAGGGGGTTGGACCAGATGACCTCCAAGGTCCCCTCCAACTCTGTCCCTCTAAGATTCTGTAAGGGTGTCCTGCTTGAGCAGGGCGCTGGGCTAGATGACCTCCGAGGCCCCTTTCCAGCTCTATTAATCTACGTTCTATGTGTTCTTCCTCTCTAGGACCAACCCAAACGCGTCAAGAGATTCGCGGGTTTTTTCCAGTTTGTCGTCGGGGTCTCTTTCCGCTTCTAAGCGACGGATTCGAGAGGAGCCGAGTTCAGATCTTCCATCGAGAGAAAAAAATAATCAAATAAAAAAAAAATCCAGATTTTTTTTTTCCCCCAGCTTGGCTTAGATCTCCGTTTACCGCAGAGGCTTCCTTAAAAGAAAAGCACAACTTCGAATCAGTAACGCAGCTTTTTAAAAAATGCCGTAGGGGCTAGTCCTCAAGTTACAACGGTCCGTTTAGTGACCGTTCCAGGTTACAACGGCCCTGGAGAAACGAGACGTAGGGCTCGTTTTTCACACTTACCCACTGTCCCAGCGTCCCCAGCATCCAAATTCCAGGCGCTTGTCCACCGACTCCTATTTACGACGGTCGCCGTGTCCCGGAGTCCACGTGATCCCCTTTTGCGACCATCGATGGGGGGAGGAG